TGAATGTATCCCACCAAGCTAAATAATGCGGACTTATTTACGAAAGCTGTAACTGTTATTGACTTGAAAAAGTTTTGTTTAACTGTTTACAGTATTTAACAGGAATAAGTATTGTGTCCATACATATTATAGAATTGAAGTTAAAATTTTGTTAATTCTTTGCAGTTAAGTTTTTTTTTTTTTTCTTGCGCATGTGGAAAAGAGGGCCACTGTTGACTTAATGTTCTGTTGTTTCCCTCATGTAAATTTAGTTCAGAGGTCAATTGGCGATCAATTAATGCGGCTGCCGCCGATTGGCCGACTTTTATTTTCTCTTTTATTGTTTTTAAATGTAAAGGCTACTGTTATAGCCTAGTTTATTTTATTTAAGGTCATGAAAAAGGATTAATTTTATTTTTATATTAGTCTCAGCATTTATTTAAGCAAAAGCAAAGACTGCTCCAAGGACAGTGGAATACAAAATGGGTATTTCTCAGCCAGTGGTGTGGCCTATTTTACACGAGGAATGCACGCACCCCTACCACGTGCAAAAAGTGCAATATTTGGAATGAAGAACAACGATCCACGATTTCCTGCATTAATATTATTTAGTGATGAGGCGAAATTCAGTAGAGAAGGCATTTTTAACGTGCACAATCAACACGCCTGGTCTGACAGCAATCCCCACTGCACTACCTATCATAAACACCAACAGAAATTTTCCATGAATGTCTAAGCAGGTATCCTAGGTGATTACCTGGTAAGCCCTTACATTATGGCAGACTGTTTGGCGGCGCAACATACTGCATCTTCTTGGAACAAGTGCTTCCCAGTTTATTGCAGGCTGTTCTGCTCCCCATCCAGACAGACATGTGGTTTATGCACGATGAAGCCCTAGCACATTTTCTTATCACGATCCGCAACATTTTGAATGCCACATACACCACACGATGGATTGAACATGGTGGACATGTGGCTTGGTCTAATCGCTCACTGGACCTCAACCCACTGGACTTTTTCCTTCTGGAAGCACAATGAAATCTTTAGTGTACGAGATTCCTGTGGACTCAGCTGAAGATCTTGTGGTGAGAATTGTTGTTGCCACGGACAAAATTAACACAAACAAGGAATCTTCATGAGGGTGCACCAGTCGTTCCTTCACCGATGTCAACTGTGCAACGACACATGTGGTCGGCATTTTGAGCACTTTCTGCGAATTTTTTACTAAACAATAAATCCGATTGTGCAAATTTTGGTCTCGTTTATTCCCTTTCCCAACACAGTTGTAATTTCAGATTGGAATTCTAATACCCTCTATTCTGCCTCTGAGAGTGGAATGCAACCTTATGTTCTATGGTAATTGTTGCTCATCTGGATTGGCCCCTCTTAATTTGTAAAAACAATTTGTAATCTATCTGTTTGGTTTATTTAGTATTTCAACAGTAAAGTTATTTTATATAATGCAAGAAACTCCTTCTTGTCATTCTGTAACTTCATTTCTTAAAATACCTGATTATAAGCCTACCATATTTAAGAAGAAAAATATAGCAAATAAAGGTGTCATTTTCGAGTAAATATATCTGGTTGTAATGAAAGCTTTCTGCCCAAAAACGATTTCAATAAAGTTAGAAAAAAAAAAAAAACATGAAAGCAGTACCTTTAGTGTGGGTAGTAATCACCACCCAAGCCTAAGATTTTCTGCCAACCTTTCGGCAGTTTTTCAAAGCTTTCAGCACAGAAATTTAGAGGCTGCGAGTCCAAAAACAGGTCAACCTCATTTCGGATGTTGTGTGCAGAATGGAAGATAGCACCAGCAAGGTATAGCTGCAGGTGTGAAAAAAGGTACAAGTTAGAAGGAGCAATGTAGGGGCTATATGGTGGGTGTGGCAAAAGATCCCATTCAAGTCCGCACAGAGCCCAGCTGGTGAATCCAGACACATGTAGTCTTGTATTATCTTGATGGAAGATTACCCTTTTGCACTGGAACTCAGTTCGATGTTTTTCCTTGATAGCAGCATCAGCGCAGACTAGCATTTTGCTGTACACCTTACTGTTGAGGATATTACCTTTTTCCAAATAATCTTTGTGCATAACACCATGGCAATCCCACCAGATACAAACCATGACCTTTTTGTTACTAAAATTGTGCTTTGAGATGCTGTCCATGGACTTACCTGAGTGCATGCAAATCCCCTTTTCGGCCTGTGTTGTTGAAGTAAATCCACATTTCATCACAAGTGACGATCCAGTACAGAATTTTGTCCTTGCATTGATATTTGAGCAGATTAGTGCAGGCCCAAACATGTCTGTCCTTATCTGCTTGAGTCAGCTCATGCATCATACAGCGATTTAACTTGTACGCCGAGTTTATGCGATAAATAGCGCTACTAATGGACATGGCACTAATGTCTAATTCCTTAGCAAGCTCTCAAGTGGTTACATATTGATCTTCTTCCACAAGTTGATAGGCCTCAATTACATCAGTAGGCCGGCCAGAGCACCCTGCTTCTTGATATTCCTTGTTTTTGAACTTTCAGTACCAAACCTTCACAGTGTCGTATGATACAGCATCGTACCTAAAGTTATACACATGAATTGGTGACATTCTGTAGCTGACATTTTGTAAAAGAACTGGAAGTAGTTGTAGTTGATGATTCTAATCTGGTAGCGTGATAGTTCTATTTTAAACACCTTGTTCATCATGATAACGATATTATTTTTTACAAATTTCCCAACATAGTGTTCTAAAGCAAGCCTCTTTCTTTAAAATGCCAAAAATTGTTTGATCAAACTTGATTAAACACGGCAACTCAAACTGTTTGCGCAGACAAGATTTGTGGTTGCACGAAATTTTCGTTAAAACCCAACATTTTCATTTACACCAAATTCTAATTAAATTATCAAAAATAAATAACTGTTCTAACTTCAAAAAGAAGGTGAAAAAAGCAATTACTTCAGAATTAGAAAAAAAGTATATACAAATTTTGTTTCTTTCGCGACAATAATATAGCTCTTTATACAAGTAAATTACTGTAATTTTGGGTAGATAAGCCGCCCTGGCGTATACGCCGCACACATGATAATTGACTGAAAAAAATGAAAGTTTCCGAAATACGGCACTTAATATTCAGCAATTTTCTGCCATATTGATGTAATCATCATCAATAGTGTTTTATTACATTTACAAAATAAATATAATCAGTAATATATAAATAAATAAGGAAGAAACATCTTACTTTGATCCTGCCGAAAACAAACTCTGATGATTTCTCTTGGATATTATTTTTACGGGTTCGGTAAATTTCTTTTATCACCATAAATTACCATATTATGAAAAGGAATACGTAAATTAGACAAGAAATCTGTAATTAAATTAAACTACATTTATTTACACAAAACCTTCAAAATCTGACTCACTGATGTCAGAATTAAGGTAAATTTAACAAATGACCATAAAGGTCAATTCTATCATTCTATTCTAAATCATTTCTTGCAATGTCACTATCTTCACTTTCATTTTCTTTTTTGATGACGTATTGCACTTAGCGCAATCTGATGAAAGCCGATCGTATCAGCTCGGACTGATTGCCATGTGTTTTAGACTCACAAGTCAAGCTCCTCATACGAAGCATTTGTCATTCGTGAGGAATTTGTAAAGGAATATATTCCGCTTTGCATCTGTTCCTTCCACTGCTTTCGTAGTTCATGCTTGAAAATTCCACTAATAGTGAAATCCAGCGGCTGTAAAATTTTTGTAAGCCCACTTGGTATCACCGAGACATCGGTGCTAAGTTTTTTTGCTTCAGATCTTACCATATCTGTTAAATGGGATAGCATTGAATCCAGAATGATGAGTCCTACGGGGTTGGAAAAAAGCACCTTTCCTTTTATAACAAATTTCTCTCAGCCAAAAATATCACTTCTTCACACATACGTCCTTTTTCGTTGGTGCAAATAATACTCCCTTAGGGAAATTTCCTTTCAGAATTGTTTTTCTTTCGAAAATTATCAAAGCGATTACTTCTCTCCATTGGCGGCACAACCCAAAACACAAGTAAAAGAAGTCTTTTCATTCCCGGTTGTTAACACTAAAATAGTTTTTTTTCACCTTTTGAATGAACATTTCTGCTCTGAGGACAGTCAAAAGTAACAGGCACTTCATCAACATTAATTATTTGCCCTCTTTTTAAATTTTGTTATTTAATTTTCTTTTATGTGTACTTCAAAAAAGCTATCTTTTTTTTTTTTAAGCCAGTCCGCAGGAAGCTTTTGTCCAACTGTTGTTTTGGTCTTGACAGATAATTTCTTTTGCTTCATGAACCTGAAACACCAATTAGGTCCTCCAACAAAATTTTTAACGCTCATTTGTTATTCTTAGGCATTTTCTCTAATTCTTCTTCTTTGGACTTCCACCGCCGAATGCATCGCTCATAAACTTGAAATTCTTAATCCACAGCGCGATTTCCAATTTCGATTGCTTTCTTCACTGCCGAAAGCTTAAGAGTAGCTGTACAACTTTTTCTTTGAGAAAGATCTATAATAATAATAATATTTTTTAAGTGCGAATGATAAGGCTAGCAAAAAGCCAGCCACAAAGCGGTAAAAATGTGTAAGAATGAACACAGCACTTGGAAAGTAAACGTAGCTGTTTCCATTAAAACAAAAATTCATAGAAAAACACAGGCAAAACCATGGAGTTTAGCAGAAAGTACATGCATCATTACGGTGTCTTTACCGAGAGTGTCACCTACTTTAGTTAGGCGAGTTTGAACTTATTGCACTTAGCGCAATCTGAGGTTAGAATATTGCAGCAAATTCTTACCGTTCCACTTGTGCATAGCTTGCGATCTGAACTAGCAAAGTTTTTAGGACAGAGGAAAAATAAAATTCCCTCAAATACGCCGCGGCTTATCTACTCGAAATTACAGCACCGAAAAATTCCAGGACATAAATTGGTATTTCTGATGATAAGAATCAAAGCCTGAGAATTAAATACTTGAAATAAAAAAATTATCACATACTTGTAAATCTGACTTTTGCTAAGGTATGTCAGCTTCTGTAAAAGAAAAGAAACAAAAATCTAGTGGAAATAAATCGGAAAACAATTATTATTTGGAAGCATCAAAAGTATGACCTTGTAAAATTTTAAAAAAAAAAAAAAAAATATTAAAATAAATGCAGTACAAATTCTCAAATCCGGAAAAAATAAATAAAACAAAATGATAAATCCCCTTTCACTTACAGAGTCCAGGAATGATTAATATAATACTCAATTAAAAGAAACAGGCATGCCATGCATGTGATTTTACTCTCAGTCCTGCTGGTCACTTTCAAACATTTACTGGTTAGGAACTCACACTATGGCCAAAGACAATACATTGATGCTGGCCAGGATCAGACTTTCAACCCGTGAGTGGTTGTGGGCGGGGCAGCATTTATTTAAATATAGCTGTTGAGTAGCTTGCATCATCTGCACATTAGATTTTATTGTGCTTTAAATGACAAAGTTTAAATGATAAATATAGAAATTAAACACAAAGCTTAAAAATAAGGAAATAGCTTATCGGATTTTAAAAAATTCCCTTTTTCATCCTTGAAAGGCACATCGAATACAGGTCGGACTTTTGTAGTCAGACTGGAATCCTTGATGAGATAGATAGTGATCATATTTACTATTATTTGGAGCTATTTCAATTATGCCTTCTTCATGCCAGCTTTTAATAATTCTATCTTATTCTTCAAAATATCCAATCTCCTGAAGTCTTCGTGTATTGGCAAAAAATCTCTTTTCTGCTTTAGATTTATTATCTCCAAGAATCCGATGACTATCCTTCCAAGGTAAAGACTTCATACTATTTCCATCAATTACTTTGATGTTTCCTCAAAAGAATTTGATGGTATCAGTATCTAAATTCTCCCTGGGCTTCACCTCTGCTGAATCTTTTATGCCAACTGTATTTAAATTCTACAGTTCTGTGAGATCGAAGTAGCAAAGTCTGATAGTATCAAGCAAGGTAATGTGATTTTGTACGTAGCCTTGTAGGGCCTAACCCAGTTTTGTTTCAATAGCAATAAGGTTTTTATCAATTGGAATATTATTCATCATCAACTATCTGGAATAATCAGCTCCTATTAACAATCCGATACCTGGAGTATCTCTACCAGAATCATCAATTCTGATTTTATGTTTTCGAAATGAGGAACATATATGTTTGAATTTCACTCTTAGGCATATATCCACATGTTTTGTCTATCTAAAACTGATAATTTGTATTTAAACCCGTCTTTCACATTTTGTATCTCGATAACAAAAATACCAAGGACTTGAAATTCAGTTTCAACTCCTCCAAAGAGATTGTGGCTCAAAGTCTCTTGATCTAATGGGACTCAATCTAGCCTCTTTATTTTGTTCTTTATGACCCACTGTTAAAAAGTGCTGGAGCAAGTTCAGTTTTTCCATTGTGAGCACCATTATAGTTTATAGAAGAGTTGTTTTCATTTTTTTGGTTAGACAATAAAATTTCACTTGTTTCATTAGCTAATTTAGGTTGTTCTTTTTTGACACTTCTACAACCTTTTAGTACTCTGCACATCACCGTAACATGACATTCATTATAAAGTAGACATTTTACATAATTTTTACACTTGTCGGCACCATGCCCAATTTTTATGTAGTTAAAACAAACCTCTTTCGTCTTTAGTAAATTTTTCTTATCTTCCAATGAAATATTATGCAGCTTAAATCACTTATGGGAATTATGTGTTTCCTCATCACACCAGACACAAGAATGAGACTGTTTCTTCATTGAGTCTCCTGCATAAATACAAGCTGCTGTGACTGGAACTGGCTCAGCTTTGTCTGGAGCAGAAAAACCTGTACGTGCCAACTGAAGATACTCTTCACATTCAACTTCATTTCAAAGAAAATCCAATAATTTTTCCAAATTTTCAGTGTGTGCAAAGCTTTGCTTATGTTGAAGAGATTGATCCCATGGCCAAAGGATTTCTTCCAGCAATGAACACTGTACAAGGGGATATAGCATTGCTGCCTAAATCTCAATTTTTATTCCCAGCATTCCCAAAGCTATGAGTCATTCTTCCTTCTTTGCCAGCTTGTGCCAAAACTAACTTTAATAATTCGCGAACACAGATTTCTACCAGTAATTGTCATCTGCAAATCTGGATTTTAGATGTCTGACAGCTTCTTAACAATTCGCACCTGAAGGAAGATAACTATGTATGAGCTCTCTCACTGGGGGATCCAAAAACAGTAGCCTGTCATAGGTACTGAAATTTGTCACTGTCATCTATATTTACATCTTCATCAATCTTCTTAAACTCTGCGCAAAATCCTATCAATTTTGAGTTTCCCCATTGAATTTTTGAACTTCCAACTTTGGTAATTTAAAGTTCTTCCTCGTAGAATTTTCTAAAATTCCAGGTTAACTACAAGAATACAATTTGCCATTTTATTTTCAACTTTAGTCTTTAAACTAACGTTTCCACTATGATAGGTTTCATTTGTGTCAAAATCAGCCAAATATTCACTTTCATTTTCATCTTTCAACAAAGGGTTCAGAAATTTCTCATTGAACTTCATCTAATCTGTTGTAAACTTAACAACGCACTCGGCAGGTTCACAGTCACGGCCGATTCAGTTTTTTAAATACCGGAAAGCTATGAAGACTATCTACCTAAGAGGAGGGATGCCTTCGTGGAGGATATTCTGAAGAAAGCTAGCATATCACACATGACGAAAACCAACCATGCAGTCACCCCTTTCGCCTGAGATCGAACTCAAACCAGGCCGAACTACCAGTGAAGATTCAGAGTTCTTAACTGTTCGGCATATTGATGAGGCCTTGAACACAATCATGAATCTTCAAACTTGTTCAGCTGGACGTGCTGTTAATTTCATATATTCTCCTCTCTTAAAGACTGAAATTTGAATCATAGATCTTTCAATTTACTAACTGGACCTGCTACTACTTGCACCACCAGGAGACGCAAGGCAAAAAAGGGTAAGTCTGTATAAACGTACCAGCACGACAGCATTATATGATTTGTTGGACATCTTAACTTCGAAAATGATATGGAATGTATTTCCAAATGGATATTATGTTCAATTATTTTTTAACTTGTTGATTCTAAACCGATCGTCAACTTTTCATTCCAAAAAAATTTCGTATTATATCTAGATGCTATATGAATCATTTTATCTACATACACTAATTTATGAAATTTAACTTTTACATTAGTCCTACAGCAATTTCAAAATAGAAAGTGTTCTTCAAGTGCAAAGCAGTTGTATGAATATAATAAGTTTCAGAAACTGTATTTACTATGATTTAAGGCTTTAAAATTTTAATATTTATAACAAAGATTTCAGGAGGCGTCTTGGCATTGAAATAATGGAATACTAATCCTGAATTCTTAAAAAGTCCTCCAACGAAGGCATCCCTACTTTTAGGCAGATAGCCCTAGAATGCTTTACATTAGTCAAATAAGCCAAAGCATACTGTTGCTGTAAAAAAAATATTGTATTTTTCTTACATAATTTCGACTGCAAACGTTATATTTGTTACTACGGAAAGATTTTATTTTTGTGCTAAATTCTGAATGCTTGAATTTTTATAATACACAGAAACAGAGATAACAAAAAACTAAAAAAATATTCATAATTTACTAGGATATATAAACAAAATAATCATTGTTAAATAGATTTTTAATAAGAATATTTTGGAAAAAATAAATGATTAATGTATACTTTCGTACTTCCTAAAAATTTGTTTTAATTGAAAAACGATGAAACATTCTTGAATCATCTGACTAAGAAGTGGAATGCTTTTGTGGAAGATTCTGAAAGGAAACTTGGCTCATAATTGTATTTCACACAGAGAAATCCTAAAAGGTTCCTATGTAGCCAGGCTGTACGCCATGATTCGAATCCGTATCGAAGGACCAGATTTTGTGGTCTTATCCAGTCGGCCATCAGAAAACCCAGTTTCGTAGAAAACTACAAGAATCGAGTCATTAAAGAATTTGCTATTACATTGCATTCGGCTAAATAATTTGCATGTCACATAGATTTAAAAATTTAACATAGCATGCAAAGTCACATTTTCCTAAATAGATATGGGCTAGCCAATGGTCGAGCGGTAATATCGTTGAACACTGGTAGTTCGACCCGGACTCAAGTTCTGGCAAACAGGTTGACTGCATGGACGCTTCGATGATTTTCCTTCTGTGGTTCAATACCAGCCAATTTCCCTTGGGAAGTTCTCCACGAAGACATACTTTCATTAGTAAGATAACACTTTCTTACTTTGCCGTAATCAAATAAACTAAACTAAACCTAAAACTGTCATATGTTTTGCCGCCTTTTTAAAGGAAGTTTCACATTCAACATCCCTTACAGTAATGAGATAATTTTACTTGTTTGCATATGCCATATTGACATATTTTACCCGTTCAAATATTCAAGAGGATAATTATAACTCTATTTTGGCTGATCATAGAATAGACAGAAACGGATAATAGAATATATGGAAATAGATGATAGAAATGGATCTTTACGTAGATCTTGTGCAGTTGTTATATTGTGTTTTAACTGACTGCTTATAAATACATTTAGATAACATAACTTTAAGAATATCAAATTTATGTATAGAAATATTGCTTTAGATGAACTATAGAATGAATATTACAAAAAGTATTTTTCAGAAAGACAATTTAAGATGGAAATTATTGTGTGATATTCATTTTAAAACAATACTTTCCTCCTTAAAGTTATAAGGTATTTTCTCCCTCCTTTCTGCATGCCTTCGTGGTGTAATGTAGTGCATTCGGCGTATATTCGAGAGGTCCAAGGTTCGAGTCCCGGCTAGGGCTTTGCTCATTTTTATGTGTCTCCTCCACAAACAACCTAATGTTCTACAGTGTCGTCCGAACTAAAAAAAAAAGGGGGATGGATGATGATTCTTCACCACCAGGATTTGGCAGTTGGGTCTCCTAATCTCCAGTCGGCCTTTAAAAGGCAGAGTATATAAGGTATTTCCTAACTTCTCACTGCATCCTTCGTGGTGTAATGGTAGCACTCTCAGCACGTATTCGAGAGGTCCAGGTTCGAATCCCGGCGAAGGCATTGCTCATTTTTCACGTCCTTAGCATCAAAAAACCCTAATAACTCTACGACTTGTCTTTCTGAAAACAATACCTGATTACATATGTAATATTTTACAAAAGGTATTTAAAGAAAATTTAATCAGTTATTCTTTAAATTTTGCTTTAAAAAAGTGTATTTGTGTATTTAATGTGTTTCTCTTCAAGATATGCTGTTTAGATTACTTCTTATCTTTCCTGTAAAATATTTACAAACAAATAAAGCTCATATATTTCAGATCGTTTGATATTCAAACCATACATTTATTTATTTTGAAACATCTTAAAAAATCTGATGTGGACATAACGACTTCCTTGTACCCCACATAAATTAAACACATTTTTTGCTAAACTTCATTTAAAATGAAATAGGCTCTTCCATTACAAAATGCCCATTTGGAACTGCCGATTGCAATAAAAAGGGAAGTGCACAACTAGATGTTATAGCATCGCATACAGAAACTTTCAACATTTTACAGTTTACCGTTTTTGAGTTATGCAATGTACCTGAATACATATGTACGGACACACGTTGCACTAAAACTAGTCATAAGTTCCAAATATAAAATTTCAGCATTTTATGGTGAAGTTATGCGACGTACGTACGTGTAAGCGTCATGACAGAACTAATGAAAATGGAAATTTCCTTTGAAATATGAAAATCGAAATTTTTCGCGATTACAATACTTTACTTATTTCTCACAAGTCAAAACGATGTCATAAATAACTAACTTCTAATAAATTTATGATGCAATCTAAAGAATTATTTAAATCTAATACTTTAATCTGGAATAAACTTAAAATATTTGAAAACTAAATATAAACGAAATATTAAAATAATTTGCGAATAATTTGTATTCGAAAAATTAGAACACGAGGGCAAAAATTCTCACAAATTCCCTTTGTATATTAAAAAGTATTTTCTAAGAAAATAACTGTAAAGAATGCAAGATAAATTTTTCACCATCATCGAAGCAATTCCTTAAAGAAACTGGAAATTTAAAGCATTTTACGTAGTTTCTATTACTGATGCATATTTACTAACTTTCTTATTTGGCACATATCTTGATTAAGGTACGAGCAATATACAGCATATGTGTTAGTATGCAAACTATAACGTAGCCAAATAGGAGATAAAATAAACATTTTAGCAACCAATCCTGTGACGAAGATACCATAGGGAGAAAAACTAATTTCACTCGCTAAATTCAACGGAGGAGAGAATTAGCTTAATTATATCGACATGGTAAGAGGGGCCTGCTTTTGAAGTAATTTGAGTCAAAATACTTGCCGTTTTTGCGACAGACCAGATGAGTACACACGATTATTTTTCATGCCGTTTCCTGAGAAAGCCGTAACGCTCGGGGGGTTAATACTAATTACTCTTTAATGTTTCATGTTTTATTTGCTTAACTCCCCCCCTCCAATTTCATAGTTATGCATCTTCGTGATTTTTTAAGTCATGAAAACAGAAGCTATCTACTTTTTTAGATAATCATATGCTATCAACGAAATAGGAAGGCACTGATTTCTGTAACATAGATGAAAACAGACTAACTTTGACGATAAAAGAAAGGAATTTATTTAAATAAAAAGAATCACATATACCATACCCGTATGATTTATTTACTATTAGCGACTCTATAGTTATAAATGATTTCATCAATGAAGGAAATATTTATCAGCAAGAAATTACCAATGGTGTCATGGAAAGAACTGCCTGTCAGTCAATAGTTGAGTACCAAAAATTTAATACCCAGTGCAAGAATAACCTGCTGATGAATATGCTTCAAATAATTACAATATTCTTTCATCTATAATGCAACATCTTTATTAATACTTTTAATTAAAATATAGGAAATACCTTATAATCATCAAGTTCCTTTTTCGTAAATGTATGACCACAGAGAGCTGGGACGAAGATAACATCATAATATAATCTCTGGAAACCCTGACAAAGTAACTGACCAAACCAAACAAATGCATTTCTGAGACCACTAATAATATTGCCCATGTTCTGAATTAGCAGAATGGCATAAATGCTGGAAACCAGAAACAACAGTTATTATAAATATAACAAATTTTAGAAATTAAAGTAGCAATTTGCAACAGACAAAAAGAATATAGATATATAAAAAATAATGTAAATATAATGTGATGAAAAATAATTAATCAATTTTTAATTTTAAATGCATTTTAAAAATTTAATAAACATGATAAACAAAATGTCAGTAACCTTTCAAAGATATTTAAGGTTAGAACAGAAGCATTAAGGAATTTCACTGCGTGAATGTTTTAATTACAATTATGTTCACCAATCAGTATTTCATAGATAAAAGACAAAATACCTTACTGTAAATTATATATGTCATTATTCAGCCATCCTTATTGAGCATTGCCAGAAGATAAGCAAAGATACACAGACAGCAGAATGTTGCATTTAGAGCATTGCCTGAAGACGTTTCTGCAGAAATCAGATGAATGTCACTACCTTCTGATGGAAACTGGCTCATATTCATGAAACACAAGGAATTAAATTTTCATATAGCCGAAGCATGGCCAGTGTCCCATGTAGCCAAAGCCATATTTTTATTTAAACTGTAAGAAGTTCAAATGCTCTAATTTTTAAAAGGAAACAAAGACTGAAAGCAGAATGCTGAAATAATTCACATCTATAATCCAAAAAATACATTATTTTATGCATCCACATTAAGCACAGGATTTACTTTATTACAGGTATGAAATATATAACAAGACTCATTTGTAATCAAATTTATGTTCAAATCTTTACACTAGTATGCAGACCTGGATTAACCATTCAGCAAAAAGAAGCATCAAGGAAAGAGGGCATCACAAAAAGGTACTTAGAGAACTCAAAGAAACTGGGCAGAAAAGGTTTTCCCATTATCATGAAACAGATGATGCAACTAAATCAAGACACAGAAAGAAAGAATGGGGAGAACAGGATTAGGTTAGAGTAGATTTAAGGGTGCCCTTTGTGTTGCGTTGAATCTACTTAAATATTATTTCATTCAGTCGTTCTCACCTTTAAATTAAAGACTCTATTCTATAACACTTGAGAAGAAATATTTTAAATAAATAATTACATTTTCTTGCTTAACCACTCGCGCTAAAAAGACGTGCCATGCATGTCGAGATGCTTTTGTCTCAAACCGCGAGCGGCGTGAACACCACGTCGATAGGCATTTATCGCAAAAATGAAAATAACGTGGTGCATACGTCGCCTAACAACGAGATTGTTTATTTCACAAGTTACAGCTCTGGATTGCGCTCGCAGACGCGGAGCGGCATAAATGAGACACTTTACCGCTTGTTATATTGTAGCGCACGGCACCACAACCGTGAAGTTTAGTCATAGCGCAAGTGGTTAAAAAAGTCAAACTTTATTTGCTTGCCCTCTTAAGGCCCATATCACACGGCGTTTGTTTCACAGGAACAACTGTTTCGGACAATTTTTCTGCCTGGTTTACTATTGAAAGAAAGACATGCGACTTTTTCCTTCCTTTCGAAAAAAGTTGCAAGTTGTTCATTTTCAACCAATCAGCTATCAGCGCCGAATGCTGTTAGCTTGTTTGTAATGAAGAACCAGTTTCCCCTGTGTTAACCCCAAAGCGAGCTGTGGTGATTGGCTGTAGTGACAAAGCAGAAAAATTGTTCCAAACAGTTGTTCTTTCGAAACAAACTGACGTGTGATAGCAGCCTTAGGAAATCAAAACATTATTCTAATCTTTCTTACTGTTGGCAATCTACAAAAATAAAAAGGCCGGTATCTGTACAACGGCTGTTGAATATCGTTAACAAATATAAATCATGGAGCTCACAACATACTCCCATCTTCTGATTTTCTTAAAATGGATTCTGAAAATCTAAACATTAAATAAAAACTTAAAGTTTCTACTCAATATACTTACAATATAAGTTAACTAATAATACAGAATACATATTTTAAAAAAATTGTTTATAACAAGAAGGTCTGACAATTTTTCTGCCACATCTAGTTTTTAGTTCAAAATCAGTTTCTTTAAAGCCACTTTTCCTTTTAACATTTTCAGATTTATGATGAATGCTCCCTTTATCAGAAACAGTTGGCACGAAATTTCGTTCAAGTTCTTTAGCTCTAAGTAAAATGTTTGGATTAGTAATCTCTAAAGGGTATAACCGTTGGACAGGGCGTATGAGTTCTCCTTCATCTGTTTTTACTTTCACTACTCTCACATGATTGTCTTTTCCAGGAAAGACCTCTGTGACTATGCCCAAAGGCTAGAATATTTGTTTTTTATTATCACATCCAATCAGAACAACTTCCCCAACACTTACCTGTTTCAGACTCTTCTTAATGAAATTCTGTTGAATTAAAAGACCTAAATATTCTTCCTTAAATCTTCTTAACTCTTGCCACAGCTTTTGTTGATACCGGTATCTTTTGGTCAAATTAACACTGTCAATGTTATCCAAGTCTGGTACGCCTATTGTCTTATTATCTTGAAGAAACATGGAGGGTGTCAACAGGCTTCAATCTTGTGCATCTTCAGATAAGTATGTTAAGAGTCGACAATTGATGACCGCTTCCATATCACACAAAACAGTGTAGTGTACATTTCCCCGTATTTTAGGGAGGCTTTTCCTAGTACTCTTCTTAAAAGTTTTTTAATCGTCTAAATTATCTGTCCCCACCAACCACCCCACCAGGAGTTGTAGGAGGGTTGAAAATCCATTGGATCCTGATTGCGGAACTTTCTTGAGATATCTTATCCCAGTCAAGAGACTCCAATGAGTTACTAGCTCTTTTAAAGTTTGTCCCATTATCACTGTACAGTTTTTTAGGTTTGCCTCGTCTCACTATAAATCGTTGCAATCCTAACAAAAAAGCATTGTTGGAAAGGCTTTGAATCAACTCCAAATGAATAGCTCTATACACAACGTAAGTGAATAGCAGTATCCAACTCCTACTTCCATCCTTAAAGTATAGAGGACCAGCTAAATCCACTCCCGTTACTTCAAAAACTAATGCATCCCGAACTCTGTCTTCCAGCACCGGAGCTGGTTCAGTTTTTATTTTCTTCGAAGAATATCTTTTGCAAATAAAACATTTTGTGATAATTCTTTGGACTGTCTTTCTTCCTCTCAAAACACAAAATCACTGAGGAATGTCAACTAGAACAACTTGGACTCCTCCATGCAGCAGATTCAGGCGACATTCATAAATTAATTTTTTTCACCAATTCATGATCTGAAGGTAAAACAATTGGATTTATGAAGTTTTCAACATCTTCCCATTGAACAATTCTTGTTTTTAACCTAATCAGTCCATCATCATCTAAGAAAATATTAAGGTTTTTCAATATGTTACAGTAGACTTTCCATTGAAAGCTTCCCTTTGAACAATTTTCATGAGCATCTTTTCTGAATTTTCAATTTCTTGGGCAGACAACTCTCCCTTTATTATATTCTCAGAATTTTCCCAATTATTGTAGAAATGCAATATCCAGGATATTAGTCGTGAAATCTTTGAATACTTAGAAAATCATCTTAAGTACCACTGCTCGTCTGACACAGAAGTGTTAAATAAAACAGTTTCTTCCTTCTTTTGCTCTTCGTAAACTTCTATTGATTTGAAATATATAGAATGGAGTCTTTGGATTACCTCAGCCACTCTGGTCCCTCCCACCATTTCAATGTAAGGAGCAATTTTGGAGAACACCCTCTGGATGGGAGGTCCGCCAGATTATGACTGCCAGGAATATGTTTCCATGAATCCACAGAAGTGATACTTCGAATTTCCTCAAGTATTTTTTTAATGAAAGCACCCCAATTATCTTCATTCTTAATCCAAAACAAAGTGGTTGACAAATGTGCTCAACATGTGGTTGGAACTTCTGTCAAATTCATTTCTTTTCTAATGTAAGATATAACGCATGCTCTTACACAACAGGCTAATAATTCCAATCTGGGAATTGTTGCTTTCGCCAAGGGAGCAACTCTGCTCTTAGCTTGAATTAAATGAATTTTCACTTCATCATGGTTTTCTTTACGAAGAAATACAACTGCGCTGTAAGCAGATTTACTAGCATCTACAAAAGTGTGAAGACTTAATCCATGTCAGGAAATATCACAATCAACATATCTTGGAATTTTAATTTCCGATACTAAATGAAGATCTTCCATCCACAGTGAAAACCTTTTACAAGCACTTTCAGGACATACCTCATCTCAGCCTAATTTAAGAGTCCAGCTTTCTTGAATTAGCATCTTCATGCATATAGTTACTGGGCACAACATTCCAATGGGATCAAAAATACTGTTAACAGTTGAAAGAATATTTCTTCTTGTTACAGGTTCTTTCTCAAAGAAAACATTTTCAGAGTTACAAAAAAGGACATCTTTATTTCTGTCCCACAATAATTCAAGAATGGGAGATTCCTTTTCCCTTTTATCTCCCTGTTAAAGAAGTATATTCCCATCCATGCAAGTCAAAACACGCTGAAGCTAGAATTTGTTTAAGCTCATGTACAAATTGCAATAGTTTCTTTTCATCAGATACAGATATTACACACTTATCCACATAAAAGGCATTCTTTAACTTACGCACAGTTTCTGGAAAATCATCACGGCATTCCTCCAAATGAAAATTAATGACTGCAGCTAAGAGGAATGGACTGCATGCGAGTCCAGAGACTATCCTTTTATGACGATAAATTTTCAATTTTCTTTTCTCAAAACTCTCCCACCATAAAAATCTCATATAGTCTTGATCTTCTTCAGCAACAGAAATCTGTAAGAAGGCCTTTCTTATGTCCGAAATGATGCCAATCGATCTTTCCCAAAGCCTCAGTAGTAGTGGAAGGATTTTCTCTAAGAGGTTTGGTTCTTTCTCTAGAACATCATTGAGCGATGGAGAATGACCGGATCTACAAGAAGCATCGAAAACAGGTCGAACGCTTGTGGTGGAGTTTTTCTTGAAATTGCCTCGATGGGGTAAATAATGGCATGGGATTACATTTTCTTCCTCGGGTGATACTTCTGAAATACTATTCTTTGCTAACCATTCATGGAAAACAGCATCATAATCTGCATATATACCATCCTTAATAAGTTTTTCCGCAGTTGATGCACACCTGCGCTCAGCAACCAGTTTATTTTCCTTCAATATCTCCTGTTCTTTTAAATAAGGCAGCTTCACGATGTAACGACCTTCGTTATTCCTTCTCACCATTCACTGGAATTGCTGCATAACTAATTTATGTGTATTTTCTTTCAATTTTATTTCAACAGAATCTATGATGCCTAGAGTATCCAAGTTCCACAGATCAGCAATTGATGCATTTTTTATCAGTAGGGAGGTGATTAAGTTTGCAGAGGCGCTAACAGGATTTTCATCAAACATTTTCCGGTACAACCCTGATAAATGCCCTAATTTCACCAAATGTGGCGATATGTGTTTTGCGGTGGTTTTTGGCACGATTGCGTGTTGTATAGCAACCATGTCGACGTTGAAAAATCTTTTGGTGGAGTAGTTTAATTGCTAGTTGGTTCATGTAGCGTGTGTTTTTGAAATGGCCTATGTTGCGATGAAAGAC